TGCTGCACGTATTAGCTCTAGAATTACCACGGTTATCCGAGTGGTAAGGAGACCACCAAATAAATGATAACTGATTTAATGAGCCATTCGCAATTTTTTTTATTTTTTTTTTTACACTCACACACACACGTGCCGCATCTATTCTGGGGGGCGGCAGTCCGGTTGCTTATCACCGGCAAGCATAGAAAAGCAAGGGTATGAAAGTTCAGACACAAAGACAGCATGTAGGGGTGTGGAAGTATCGTCCCTGGCAGGCACCAGGTTCGCTTGCGGCAGAATGGACGGCTGCTGAATTCAGGCTTCCTGTCTCACGGGGGGGGTACCGCCGGGAGGCATGTCACACCCTGTCGTCGTACCCTCATCGTGAGGAAGGAAGGCTGCTATAGTACTCGTCAAGACTTCGCTCCTTCCCGGGAAATTAAGGTAAACAAACAAATTGCAAAAATAACAGAAAAGGTATCCATGTTTGTTCCTAGTATACCCAATGACGGGCAGCCATCTATCTCTACCCCTCCCCCCAACATCTGTACCCCTTCCCCCCTCCCCTCACCCCACATCCCTTCCCCTTCCTAGAATCCTTCCTGATGTTACTCCATGTCATCAGTTGTCCTAGTGTCATTTGTGTCTTCCCAGTGTGTTCCCTGTGTGCAGGCTGTTAACTTTATGTATGATGATCCCATCCCGAAAGCAAGCATCTTGTGACCTTGTAGCACACCCGTAGGGGGTATATGACAACCAATCTCCAAGTTTCGTGTCCTCGCCATGCGACACAGTCGTCTTGTCTATCCCTGCTCCTTTTAGTCCGTGTCTTCCGTATCATCCCGAAAGCATGTATTTTGTGACCTTGTAGCACACCCGTAGGGGGTATATGAAACCTATCTCCAAGTTCCATGTCCCTGCCATACAACACAGTCGTCTTGTCTATCCCTACTCCTGTTAGTTCGTGTCGTGACCTTGTGTATCCTGACCCTATTTCTCTAACAATGTGTATTGTACATGGATGTATGTATCCCCTATTTATTTACATGTAACCTATCGTGGGTTTTGTCAGTCTTATGGCCCATAATCTTTCGTCCCCCTTACAGTATCTATGTACCTGGTATCAAACAATCCACCCGTTTTACATCTTTCTTACTACTGTCTCTCTTATGGATCCTAATATGGTCAACGTATCTGGCATTGTTGGGGGTTTGTGACCCTTCCTCCTGTTGTCCCATGTATTCGGTGTTCGTTTGAGAGGCGGTGGCCCATTTCCATTCCCCCGGTCGTTCTCCCGCTTCCAGTATGTCTGAGTATGGTGCCCATGCTGCTCTGAAAAAGGCCCAACCTCCTTTTCGGCGTCTGTGTGTGTCCGCTGCGACTGCTGCTCGTAAGTTCCTGACTGTCCAGGCTTTGAGAGTGGCCACATTGCCGTGTTTCCCTGTATTGAGTAGCCGTCCTCTAATAGCCCATACTGCTCCCCAAAAGGCCGCCCTCACTGTGTCCCCAGCGTATGCTGCATTGGGATCGGAGGCCGCACCTGCCAGTGCCAGTCCCAGCATGACCTGTGCTCTGTGTGTGGCAGTCCCCGGATGCAGCGGAATATTCGTGCCTATCGTCCCCCACCATTCCCAGAACAGTTGCTGCGGTCCACAGTCCAGCCACATATGTGGCAAGGTCTCCGTCTGTGTCATGCAGTCCCTGCAATGTGTATCCGAAGCTGTGCTGTGTGCTGCCATCCACTGAAATGTTGGCACCGCCAGATGCAGACTCAGCCAAAGACCTCCTGCTTGCTTCTGGTCCGGTATGCAAATCAATGTCTTACTGGCTGTCTTCCATAGGCCTTCCGTCCAAGTGTTAAGATGAGTCACCTCCAGCCATCTCTCTTTGCCCACCTATCATGCATTTCTTCCCCCATGTCAGTAGGCCGCAGCAATGACCGGTAGACAACCTTTGTGGTCTATTGGTGTGGCCGGCAGGCCCTGGTTTGTGTGTTCCTGCCAACTTCCTGGCTTTCCATTCCCATATAGACGGATCCCAAGGCAGCTCTATCGGACGTCTTCTGGGTTTGAATGGTCGGAACTTGATATCTGAGTGTTGTCTCCGATCTTTGAGGACGACCACCGAGCGCATGTTCTGATTATGTATCAGACCATCTTGTTCGGGAAATCTCGTCATTGGCTCCCCCAGGGCCGCATCCGGGTCTTTCATGTGCCAAGCCTCAACGCCATACCAGTCTTGTGTGGCCCTGTCCTGCACTGGGAACAGTGTCTCGAGGGGGTCTTCAGTAGTGAGAGCCACCCATTCTCCCCTTGCCCTATCCCTTGTGCCCAGCCGTTGAACCCATTTCTCCGGGATGGCCACTTTTATTTGCCGCACTTGGTCTTGTCGTTCTGGTTGGTGTCTGAGGCGTTCTGTGAGCTGCATCTCACATCTCCAGTCTTGATTGTTTTCGTCCCAAATGTCCATGATTCGGGAGACTCCGCACTCCAGCCATTGTTCCCCAAAAGCCGCCGGCTCTTTCTGCCACGCAAACGGGCGACCCTGCTTGAAGATGAACGGGTTGCCAAAAAGAGATTGGCCGCAGTTTCACAGTGCAAAGTGTTCACACTTAGACGTGCATGGCTTAGTCTTTGAAACAAGCATATGACTACTGGCAGGATCAACCAGGTAGCGGGTGTGACGAGCAGCCGCAAAAGGAGTGATGGCCGAGGCGCACGTAGGCACGTTACGCCGGACAGCCTACCAAAACAACGTCGAACAATCGTGGAACGTGCAATGAGCTGCCGAGACGCCGCGAAGTCCGGCTGTTTGGATTGCAGGTGAACTTCCCTGCGTAGGCCATCTCCAACGGCAAGGTACCGCACAATCCAACACAGCCCGCCGCACCCRCCCAAGAGATTGGCTGCGAACAGCACCCGCCCACACCACACCCAGAGATCGCAAGTTAMCCACACTACCCGAACAACGGCGCGCGCGAAGGAACCACCGACAGCTTCGGCCCACAGCCGGATGCCACCGCCTGCCCAAAACGTACCGACAGCGAAGTGCACAGCCTCATCTCTCCATCGAGAAACGCGGGTGAAGAGAGAAATGAATGCACCACGCTTCCAACACGCCCGGACGGACGGAAAGCCTCCACCTGTGCACGGGGGCGCAAAAGGAACACAACCCCTCTCCCCCCTGGGCCCACACCCGCCGGTTGCCGCGGGCACCACCAACAGCACTCGACGCAGGCGAAACCCAGGAGACAGAGGACAGTAGCCTTCGAAGCCCACAACCTAAACACAGCGGAACCACGACGCAAYGCGATCCGTCAYGGTGTGCAGCATACCGAGACCACAGGATGGGGGATACGACGGGCACAAGCACGCATTCCAAAAAGTCGGGCGGATGACGGGCCCAACCTCGTGATGCGGTCGGAGGGTGCATCACGCATCCCACAAGTCTCCKCCCTCGCATACGGTAAGCAGTGCGTGCATGGCTGAGGCCATCTGCGCCACCGCTCAATGGCGCCGCTCGGATGGCGAAGACCGCAGACTCGCAGAGCGTCCTCACCAAGTCGTGACACCCCCTCAACACAAACGGAACGCGCCGTTGTGAGTGCGGACACTAAGAACAAACCACAACAGAGCCGCAACAGCTCTCCCTGTAACCTACGGGATGATGGTGCCGAAGCTGAGAGCCGGTGACGGGTACCTCCGCCTCCACACCCTGTGGACAGCACCCGCCCACACCACACCCAGAGATCTCAATCTAACCACACTACCCGAACAACGGCGCGCACGAAGGAACCACCGACAGCTTCGGCCCACAGCCGGATGCCACCGCCCACCAGAAACGTACCGACAGCGAAGTGCACAGCCTCATCTCTCCTTCGAGAAACGCAGGTGAAGAGAGAAATGAATGCACCACGCTTCCAACACGCTCGGGCGGACGGAAAGCCTTCACCTGTGCACGGGGGCGCAAAAGGAACACAACCCCTCTCCCCCCTGGATCCACATCCGTCGGTTGCCACGGGCACCACCAACAGCACTCGACGCAGGCGAAACCCAGGAGACAGAGGACAGTAGCCTTCGAAGCCCGCAACCTTAACGCAGCGGAACCACGACGCAACGCGATCTGTCACGGTGTGCAGCATACCGAGACCACAGGATGGGGGACACGACGGGCACAAGCGCACATTCCAAAAAGGCGGGCGGATGACGGGCCCAACCTCGCGACGCCGTCGGAGGGTGCATCACACATCCCACAAGTCTCCGCCGTCGCATATGGTAAGCAGCGCGTGCATGGCCAGGGCCACCTGCGCCACCGCTCAATGGCGCCGCTCAGATGGCGAAGACCACAGAGCGTCCTCACCAAGTCGTGACACCCCCTCAACACAAACGGAACGCGCCGTTGTGAGTGCAGACACGAAGACGACACCACAACAGAGCCGCAACAGCTCTCCCCGTAACCTACGGGATGATGGTGCCGAGGCTGAGAGCCGGTGATGGGCACCTCCGCCTCCACACCCTGCAAACGACCGCCAACCGGACCGCCGTCGGCGATCAGGCGCCAATCATCGCAAGACGATGAGCGAGGGTGAACGCAACGATCCACAACCCGGCACCACGGCATAGGAAAGCCCCGACAGCCGCGACCGCCRCCAACGACGACCGAGCTGTCGTGAAATAAGCCCTCCGAGAGAGACGACCATGGAACCGAACGGCGCCGCAAAAATGTTCGCTCGACCACCAAAGCACGACTCGCCCATCCCTCGCAAACTGGAAACCACCCAAAGCGTGTGCAGAGAGTCCCYCGTAACTCGAGTACAAGGTCCCAAAACGCACGCCCGGAACCTCACCTTCGTCGACTGCAAGGGGGCTGCTAAGCACGCAGTCCCCTATAAGAGTGCAAACGGGACTCCGAACCGACAACCACCGACTGTTTGGCACATCCGGAGGGTGCTCACTTAGCCATCCGCCGAGGGACCTGCACATGTCCCTTTCTAGCAAGCTGACTGAACAGACCCTAATGGCGATGTCCCCCTCGGGACCTCATCCCTTTCCGCTCTCAATAAGACGCCTCTGGACCTTCGATCCTGGGAGATCCCCTTTTCTCGGGGCCGTTCCTACGCCCGAGTGGCAGTGCGCGGTATCTGCTGCCCCCAGAAAAATAAATACATTAAAAAAAAAAGGGACGAAACAAACAGAGAAAAGGCCAAGCCGCTTCTGTGCCTAGCGACTCAGATCACGCCCTGTGTGGGAGTGAAAAGTGTACGGGAAGTCTGGCAGAATCGTGCGTCGGTTGTGGGGTTATGTGTTGGCGAACATGACCGGACGCGCACTCCAGAAAGAGAAGGGGGGAAAGAAAAGTTAAGGATGACTTGACAAAATAGTCATTTCAATTTGTGTCGGCGCCGAAAAAAAACTGCATCTGGCAAAAGAAGTGAGGCCGAAAACCCGACGGCCATAAGCATTTTCGTGCATGTCCCAGAGAACACCATGGAGCCAATCAGGTACTGCCTCCAGTGAAGCAGGCCGCCATGATCACGCGCACGAGCGGGGAGGGCCGGATAGGGCAGGAAGTGGGGCACAAAGGGCAGGAAGTGGCCTCTTTGTTCCCAAAGTTGGGGGGCGCGCGGCCCCACCAAGATCATAAATACGCAGTCCCGTGGGGAAGGCCACGTAGGGCAAGAAGTGGGTATTTTGTTCCCAAGCCATAATATTACGCATACACATGGGGAGGGCCAGATAGGGTGAGAATTGGCTTTCCAGGTCCAAAACACCAGGGGCATGCATCGCGCATCCCCCACCACGATTATGCTTGTACGCAGGGGGGGCCAGACACCCTCCATCTCTGCCCCTCTACTAAAAATCTTCTGTTAAATTGATTGAATACTTGCTTGAGCAAACAAAGGTCGCCCGCCACATCGTGAGTAAGTGTACAATGTGGCACTCACGTCGATCCAGCCTTTGGTCCCAGGTCTCCTTGCAGCCAAAAGTGGCAGGGCGTATGGGGCGACATCGGACAATGTGGCATGCACAAACGACCACCGGGTCAAGTACAGGAAGACACGCGGACACATATCCATGCTTTCCGACAGATCGCGCGCCGCAGTGGCCAGAAGCTTACAACGTGGCACCCACCCCAACATGGGCTCGGGCACAGTTCTCCTTTGAGCCGAAAGTCGAGTACCACATCGGGCA